CCTTTTATTCTCCAAGGTGAATTATAAGCTCTTGGAGGGTAAGGGAGTTTCTTTGTATTCCTTGTATTCTCTAGCACTTGGCACACACTCTACACATGGCATATGCTTGTTAACTGACTATTTAACACATTGGTTTGTAAAAGTTGCCATACCAAAAGACCACAAACTGAGACACTCAAATAACAGAAATGCCTTGTTCCTTGTTCTAGAGTTTGGGAGTCTTAAAGTGTGGCATCCGCAGGGTGGGGACTGCCTAAAGACTGAGGTAGAATCTCTCCAGGAGTCTGTCCTTGGCTTGGAGAGAGCCATTCTCATCTTCCTTTGTGTCATCTTTTCTAATACATATCTCTCTGTCCAAAGTTTTCCATTTTATGAGGATCCTATAATTAAATTAGGGCCCACCCTAATAAGAATGTCACTTGGACCCTCTTTCCACTTAAGGTCCTATTCTATGATACTTTTTGTTAGGACTTCAACATACGAATGAGGAGGACACAAAATTCATGCTTAATAGCAGCTTTCAGTGAATCATAAACATTCCTAGAGGAGGCCTTAAAAGTCAGTAGTTAGCTTGCCTGCTTCTAGAATCCTCTTTTACTCCAAGCCAAGAGCATTTGGAATTTTAATAATATTTTTGGCAACCGATTGGAGGGTTGTTCTCGGTTTTAATGTTTCTCTGTGTTCCTTCCAGAATGGTTCCCGCTGCCTAAGCCTCAAAGCCTGCAGATTGTCTGGAGCAGGTAAGCGCCACATTGACCAGGGAGAAAGGGAGATATTTCCACAGACCTCAGTACGCTGAGCACCAGCCCCCAGCACCTCCATCTGAGTCCCAGAAGATGCCTCTGGGAGAGCCAGCCCCCTCGGAGGGTGTTAGTTTTTCTTTATGAACCATTTTACTTTCAGTGAGTTTGGTCATTAAAACTGTTTTGTGCCCCTCAACCATGCCCCAGGCCCCAAGAGCTGTAGTGTTGGCCTCCAAGAAAACCTAGTGGGTTTATTATTCTCTGACAGACAGAAACCAAATAACATCATTGAGTGGTCATTGGAGGGGGGACTTGATTCATGGAGGCCATGCTTTCCCAGGCCCTCTCAACATGGTCTCAGCTCAGACCAGGGCAGACTTCTATTACCAGCTTTCAACAAACCCCTAGTTTCTTTTGCAAAGTAAAACAGATAATAGAGACATTCCGGGAATAGCTAGCTAACTACACTGAGCCAGGCAGCTTCTGAGCGAAGAAGCACTCAGTGTTTTCGGACAATGACCAATTACAATAACCAGCATTATTTGATCTGAGAGTAATTAGCGGAGGCTCTGTTCTTTTTGCTTCAGTGAGGAGGCAAAAAGGGCAGTGAGCGAAACATCAGAGGCTGGGTAAAGGAGCTCAGATGTCAAAGAAAAACACTCCTGCAGGTGGGGAGAAGGCAAGTTTCCCAGCCAAGATCCCAACTGAACGTTGGAATGTTGGTCTTTGAATATGCAGAGTGGTTTAATCTAACCAAATGTGGCTTGATTGTGCCATATGTACCATTTGTACACTTTTAAAAGTTTAGAGTGAAAAACGGGGTACAAAGAATAAACATAGAGCCATAGACTGCCAGGGGATCTCTTATTGGGAGAGACAAGGCCCCCAAGATGCTCTTATTTTTCAAAGCACAGAATCCTGTGCCCACCCCCCCTATTTCGGAGTCATGTTCCCAGGAACTGTTGTTTATTATATCCTTTGTGATGTGCAAACTTTATTCACAATTACTGCTAAGCAAACACAACAGACTGTAGATTTATCACTTTATCATGACATTTTATTTTAATTTTTTTTGTTTGTTGCTTTTTGAGACAATGTTTCTCTGTGTGGCCCTGGCTGTCCTGGAACTTACTCTGTAGACCAGGCTGGTCTCAAACTCAGAGATCTACCTGCCTCTGCCTTCCAAACGCTGGGATTAAAGGTGTATGCCACCACTCCTTGGCAAGTTATTTTTACTACAAGCCATTTAATTGAGTGGCATTGGCAAATGAAAACTCACTTTTTATTTTTTTAGGTTTAGGGTATCAATGATTTTAAGATATCCATTCAAAAACCAAGTCAAAGCTGGCAGGAATTTCGTTCTAACCTTGAGTGCTCCTTGGAGTCCCTAGAATATCAATGATATGTTTTTGACATCCTAAGTAGGAGCTAGGTCAGCTCCATATTCTAAGCAGAGCAGTGCCATTTTTAGTTGTTTCAACTTTAATACTGAAATAAATGTCACCTTGTTCAAACAGTAACAGAAGGAGTGTTGGGCCCCCTGAACCCTGCCTAGAGATACTTGAATCTCTATGCTGTTCCACAGCTCCCCTCCCTTCCACAATCGGCTTTTTAAAACTCCAAACCACAAAGCAACTTAACACTCTATGCTGTTGGTGCTGCCACTGTCACGATTCTGCCACGGGCTTCCTGCTGTCACGCATTCTCCCCCATGTCTTTCTTTTAGCACCGAATAGGACTTGAATTCTCTGTGTCAC